ATCTATAACAAGGAACTCCTTACAATTGTCTGTTCCTTAGAGGAGTAGTGTTAATATCTCCTTAGTACTGTACAGAAGTTTAAGATTTAAAGTAATCACCTTAATCTCTAGTACTTCCAGACACCTCAGAAGCTCAACTACTACTAAGCCTGCTAGATGTTAGAACTGTAGAATTATAACTTTGTACTAACTTACAAACTTAGAACACAAATGACAAAAGCCAATTTACTCTTAAGACAAGCAGGTTATAAAAGGGGGGAGAATGATAACAAAAATCTTGTTCTTCTAGACAATTCCTGTTTTGTATCTAAGACAATCTAAGAGATCTGACTCAAATCTAAGAATGTTGACTTTGTTACTTATATACAGTAAGCTCTAAGACACACACAGGACTAGGTTGTAGTAAAGTAGCTAGAGAAGTAGGCTAGAGATTAGGAGGAGGATAAGGATGGACAGGTTTACTAGGAAGGCAGACTGTACATTCTGAAGGATTGGAAGCTGTAGGAGAACATTGTCTGAGCTCATTATAACAATCTGACTGTAGGACATTTAGGCTAACACAAAACACAGGAACTCATTACTTAGAACTACTAGTAGCTAGGAATACAAAGGGAAATCCTAAAGTATGTAACTGGTTACAATATGTGCTAACAGACTAAGGTCTACTAGACAAGGGTTTAGGCTCCCCTACATTTGTATTAGATCCTAGATCACTCTTAGAAAGAAGTCTTAGTAGACCTGATTAGTAAGTTACTCAAGTCTTAGGGTTACAACACTATCTGTATGATTGTTAACTGATTCTCTAAGCAAGTCTATGTGGTTCTGACTCAAACAGAACTCACTTTCAAAAGCATAGTGTGTATCTATCAGAATCATGTCTTCTGCTTACACAGACTCTCTCAGAAGCTCATTCATGATTGTAGACTGTAATTTGAGTCAAAATTCATACAGGACTTGTATATACTTCTTAGAATTCAAGGGAACCCTTCTACTATATACTACTTATAGACAGACAGTCAAACTGAGTAAGTCAATTAGGAGATTGAGCTCTACCTCTGAATGTTCATCAATTATCAGTAATCAGATTGGTCTGAATAGTTAACTCTGGCAGAATTTGTACACAATAACTAGTAACACTCTACAATAGGACAGTCCCTGTTCTTCCTTAATTATAAGAGACATTTGTACTAGGGGACAGTTCTGAACTGGAACAGTAGTTCTAAATCTGTAACAGACTTTGTAGAACAGATACATAGAACCAGGGAGGACACACAAGCTCTTTTGGAAAAGGTAGCACAGGTTATAAAGCAGAACTATAATTAGAAGAGGTCTGTAGCTGAGGATTACTAGCCTGGTGACAAAGTTATGCTAGAAGCTACTAACCTGACTATGGATTGCCTAATAAAGAAGTTAGACAACAAGTGCTTCAGACCCTTTGTTATTGAAAAGAAGGTTAGTGCTTCTGTTTACAAACTCCAACTTCTAGCAATATGGAAGCACATACACTCAGTGTTTAACAAGGTTCTACTGTCTTAGTACTATGATCCAGGTTTTCCTTTATAACAAAGACTCCTACTACCTCTACTAGAACTCATTAGTTCTGAACCAGAATATGAAGTAGAATACATAGTAGATACTAAGCTAGTGTACAGAAAGCTCAAGTTCCTTATCTACTAGAAGGGATACCTAGTTAAGGAACATACTTAGGAACCTGCTGAGAATCTCACTCATACTACTAAAACAATCTAAGACTTCTATTAACTTCATCCAAGTGCTCTGTGTTAACTCTGCCTCACAGATTTCCAAACCCTACTGTTCTAACTTATGTCTAAACTACTAACCAAGCTCAATGTTCACTAATTAGAACAATTGGTTTTAGAGGGGGGGTAATGTTATAGTTCTCTACTCTTATACTTTTAGTTCTAAGGGTTCTACACCCTTCTGTACTAGAACTCAGGACTTCTGTCCCTTAGAGGGTGCTATTTATAGACTATATGTGTACTGACTCTTACTACTATCCTTCCTTACTTTATCATTCTATTCCTTTGACCACCCCTTCATTCTTTGTTCATTCTATAGTCTCTTACCCTTTGTCTATCCCTTCATTCTTTGTACCTTTATCTTTGACCTTCCTTTCTTTCATTCTTTGTAGCTTATCATTCTTAGTAGCTCATACTCTCTGAGTACTCTTGTATAGTTTAGTATGTATAGGTGTACAAGATCAGACTGGTCCTGTAGTCTTGATCTTGTCTACTCTAGGTAGTCCTGTACTCTTAGGCTTACTCTATATACTCTACTCTTGTCTCACTCTCTTTCTCTGTCTGTTCTGCAAGTTCTGACTATGTTTTAGTACTTGCATTCTGTATTTCTGTTGTGTAGGATAGTTGTAGCCTGAGTCTCCTTACTGAGCCTTTGAGTCCCCTCTATACTGTTACTGACATAAAGCTGAATTAATAGCTCTTGTAAGAGGAACACAGGAAGCAATTGTACTTACTCATTTAGCTGAAGAGATTCTACAGGTCTCTGATACACTAATTAATATCTATTGTAATAACAATACTGTTATACAAACAGTTACATCAGACAAACTCAAATATTCAGAACAAACAAAGCATTTAGATTATAAGAAAGATTTTATTAAATGCTACATTGAGTTAGAGTACATAAATGCAAAATACATACAGACAAACAATCAATGAGCAGATATATTAACTAAAGTACTACATGTACTACAAGTCAAACATCTTACCAGTTTACTCAGACTAGTAAGAGTTTGAAGGGGAGTATTATGAGATAATTAGTTCATTAATGAATGAACCACAAGACAATGACTTTATAATGTCTCAGTTAGAATACATACAATATAAGGATGAGAGACACTGAGCAGTCAATCATCACCTCACCCCTTGTCTATGTGTGCCCCCCTTAAGTTTTTCCCTCTCAACAGTATAAGTATAAGTATTAGTATTAGTATGAGTATGAGTAGGTAACTGGATCAAGGAGATGGATACACTGTGAACAGTATATAGTAGGTGTGAGTAGTACACTAGTGTTAAGATCCAGAGTATTAAACAAGCTGATTTGAGCTGTAAGTAAAGTCATGTCTGAATGTATATATTGTATATTCTAATTATGTCTTACAATCAGAGGTGTAGTAAACTGAGTCATTGTGGATGACTGCAAATCTGAGACATTCTAGCTTGAAGGTAGAAGGTAAAGTAGAAAGTGTGTACAGACTCAACTTGAACAGATGTAAGTAGTAGGCTACTACTTCTGTTTAATATAGTAACATACTTAATACAAAGGAATGTAAATACAATGTAGTATAAGTGTATTTAGAGTAATGTAAAGTATTAAATAGGTAGGGAAGGAGGAAACACATGAGAGTAGCACAATAGGAATAGATGTACATAGGTATTGTTGCAGGCTTGTTCTTATTAATTGTTACTTATACTATAAAGTAGGAAGAAGTATACAAGTGTATAGAATATTAAAGAAGTTGTTCAGTATTAGTTGACAATACAGATACACAAATGTGAATATAAAAAGAAAAGACAAGCATAAAAAAGGAGGACAACAAAGGAGAGACAATATAAGCAGTAGAGTAGGAGGGGTTAAGACTATAGAAATAAATTATATATATTTACTATTTCTGTATTTTATAATTGAATATAAGTTTCAGGGCTTGAGAAAGTTATTATGAGTATTAATAGTGTTAAAGTAGAGAGTGCCTACTTGTCAGTATTAAATATTTGAGTTCTTACAGTACTTGATTACATAATACCTTTTTTTTGTAGTTGTGTTTGCAACTTTAACTCTGTAACATATAACATAACTCACTCAGTCAGAATTAGTACAATTATTGAAACTCTCTTAAATATATGAACTTATTATATTGTATTTACAGTTAAAAATAAAAGAATTGACTTATGATCAATAATAAAATTAATATTATACAAAATATGTATTATTATTAATATTCTTTTAAAGTAACAACTAAAAATCATAAAATATTATATGTTTTACAATTTAAAATATTTTTAACAATTTTACCTGTACAGTTTGTTTGTATAGACATGAATATTGAGTATTGTCCTCTATAGTGTTGATGCAAGAAAATCACAAGTTCATTTTCCCACACAGATAAGAGTCATGTGTATGTTTATTTCCATTGCTACTATCTTAAGTTAACAACCTGAACAACTCCTTCAATATTTGCTGCTGTGTTTGACACAACCAGCTACTCTACTACTACATAAATGTAATACATTGACCATGTCCAAAGACACACACCATGGGTTGCCACAAGATTAAGATTACCCTAATAACAGTGTACACATCTCTATGTCCCTCTCCATCCACTAGCCTATTTCTATTGTCCTGTCTCTCTCTCCCCTGTGCTATTTTCTTACACAATTCAGTTTGCCATGCTGACTCTTCTCTCTCTCTGTTGTTGGCACTGGTAGCACAAGCACAACTGCTCAGTAACTTTTCTCAAGGAAAGTTGTGTTCTCAGTTTTGCTTATGCACACTTGTGCGACGCGTTGTACAGGAGCTGCAGTGCTATTGTGATGCATTGACCGAGTTGCCCCGCTGCGCTGCTGTGTGCTCGCTATAATTATTTCGACGGAGGCTAACGCCTATTTATTTTTATGTCTCCCTTGTTGTCGGCTGTCCGCTGTCGGTAACCACTCTGTGTGCTGTGCTGCACTGTCTGTCTGTTGCATGTTTTTGGCTGGCGCGTCGAAATTGCCCATGGCGTGCAGTGGAAGAACGGGCTATTCAAGAAGGCATATGAGCTGGGAATGTTGTGTTCTGTGGACGTAGCAGTGATCATCTTCGGTGCGTTCAAGGCCGTTCTGTCGCGCATCTTGCGTCCCTGTTCTCACACACCTGCCTGCTCTATTTTTGGCACACTACCTTCCTGCTCGACGTCAACGGCGGCATGTCGATTCCCTTCTTCGTCTGACGCGCCCTGACCGCCCCGAGGGCAACTCCCGATGCCGATGGCTGATGACGCCAACAATAATGATGCCGCTGAAGAGGAACAGGCCGGTCACCATGTGAAGCTGCACAAGTACTGCTCGACCGACGTCGACAACATGGTCCAACGACACATCCATGTGCGTACATGTCTTTCGTTTTTCCTTTTCTTTGCTGTGTGCCCCATAGCCAGCCCTTTTCTCTGAGTCTGCACGCCAGCCTTTGACTCATTATTCTATTCCTATTTCTTTTTACATTTTATTTTGTTTACTTTGTGTGACTACTTACTGACACTCGCCTGCTCTTCTTGTGTTCTCCCTTGTGGACTTGACTGTGGCCCCCCAAACGAACTGTGTGATGTGATGTGATGCAATGCCACCCATGGACGCATCGACCCCTGTATATCCGATGATTGACCCAATGCACCACTCTCTCATATTGCCCCTGTGCTAAATTGCAGTCACCACAGTCTATCTATCCATCCTCTCTCACTACTGTTCTTCTGCTCCTGCCCTCCGCACCTGGCCACACATCTCACCTGCACTGTGTTTCACTACACAGCCTTTGCAAGCTTCCTTGGTTCCTCACGACGCCCGCACGCGTCTGCTCGCACTTCCCGTTACTATCACCTCCACAGTCTGTCCGATCAGCACGCTCCCTGTCCCCCTATCCGTACATCACGCATCCGGTTCAGTCGACCTGTATTGCTGTAATACTCCGGCATGGCTTTTTTTCACTAGTTTGACGGAGAACGAGAATCTAAGCATCCAGCTGACTTCGGCAAGCAACCAGACAACGGTGCTCACAATGATGATGATGACGATGACGAAGGGCCGAGGCCCTCGGGTTCTGGAGGTGCTTCTTCAGGCAGGCAGCCAAGTGGTTCCATGGGAGGCAATGCGGGTATGAGTGGAAGAAGTGGGGGCAGCATGAGTATGACTGGTAGAGGTGCACCCGGTATAGGAGGTATGGGTAGCGGAGGAAGGGTGGCCGGCGGCATGAACATGGGTCTTGACGTGAGTACCATTTGGTTTGCATTTCTTACTGTCATTGGTGTTGGTACTGCCAGCATATGGAAGTCAATTACTCATTTCCTGATTTTCTGTCTAATTAGATTGACTATCGACCGTCATCGCTCAGTTTGCCCCCTCATATCTCCTCATCATTTCCCAGTCACTCCTTGCCAGCGCATTCCTCCCGTCTCACAGCACACCCGGGCTCTCACACCTGTCTGCACCGTCATTTCCTTCTCACACACAACACCCGTCGCTCTCCGCACATCTCGACTCACCGGCAATCGCATCATTCGTACTCATAGTCGCCCACAAGTGCGTACCCAGGACCGGGGTCCGCAATCCCAGTCAGTCTTGAGCGCCATAGCCCTTTCAACTTTAGTCTCCCTCAGACAAAACGGCCGAGGCTTGGTTCATCAGCATCTTCCGGCGGAGGCACGTATCCAGGTGGTCCGTCGGCGTATACAATTGACGATCCAGGTGCACATGCAGCATACTTGCGGAATCAGAATCAGAATCAGGGACATGCACAATCGGGTACGTCACGATCGCAGTTTGATTTGCTCATTAGGCTCTCAACGCCTTCACCGTCCCCTACAGGCGGCGGAGGCAATAACACAAGGTCCTTTTATGGGCAGCAGACCCATGGGCAAGCAAGCCCGCCACTCTCAAATGCATCATCTACACCTTCGAATGCGAACTCTAATCTATTTTCCGGGTTACTAGGTACAGGCGGTGGCGGAAGTCCGACAGTTACCTCTCCGCACCATTCTCACCCACCGCGCGGTAGGAGCGGGACTGAATTAGATTCGGAATGGCCGGTGCACAGTTCCTCTCAGACACAAAGTCAGCAAATCCAGTCGCGACCTAGCGCTGGACAGGGAGGATCGGATACCGCCTGGCTGGATTTTTTTTTCTCTAGCGCCCCCGCTTCTGGGTCAGTAGCCAGGGCGGGGGGGGGGGGG